AATCTGTGTGTGAATCTTCACAGGTCCCAAGAGACCTTCGAACATTCCTCAGTCTGGATAAATCATTATTGATGGTGTTGGATAAAAGTGTTTCATATATTAAAGGATCCATAGTTTGGCTTTGGTGTAAAAACCCAAACTCTTGGGTGTTCTGGTCCAAAGTTGTGGCACTAGGTGGTCATGGCGATTTCTTACAGAGATTCATTTATACTGGGAGTCAGAATTTAGACTTGAATGTTGGTGTGTCTGTTGCAGCCTGTGACCAGTAAGATAATCTACATCATTCTGCCTTCCCTCTCTTCTCCAGTTCTGCAGCAGCATCTTTGAGCATTTTACAGCATTTAGGGGGGATTACAAACTATGCATCAGAAATGCATGGTCAGGCCACTTCACTGCAGTGGCACTGTCCGGAGTGTCTTGGCCTGTGCTTTGCAGACCAGTGTCTGATGGTCACTTCCATCCCAGGCTTACCAAAACTCCAATTAGACTGACACAAGGCGTTCATGGCTTATTCAGTCATTTCATTTAAAATTATGACAATAACTAAGATGTTCGTATCCTACTAGAGTTCTGAGATGTGCAGCTGGTTTAACACTGTGAACCCTCAGGAGAAGCCCCTACATGTGTGCTTGAGAGCGAGGGGAAGAGCTGGTTTTACATGTCAAAAGGTTTCCAGTGGGCTATGATGCTGTTGGAGAGGACTCTGCTCCAGTTGCACATGGTTACTTGTATTCCTTTGGTTGACAGCATCAGAACATGCTCTACTGTCAGCATGGGATTCTGCATTTTCTTTCCATTCCAAAGGGGCTATAACTCAATGGCTTCCTAAGCCTGGCCTGGAACGAGTCCTGTGGACCTTTGAAGAACAAGAGCTAGGTGTAATAACTGCTGAGGGTGAGAGTAAGAAAAGCGCTCGAGTGTAAGGTCATTTTGTTTTGGCCACGTTATGATTAAACAAAACCACAACAGTCTCTGGCCCGAGGGGTTGAAGGGAGGCATTGGAGAGCCTAAGGGAATGCAGGAGCCAGCATGTGCTTCATACAGTGCAGGAAGAAGCGCCTTTAGGGGTCTTGTGTTCTGAATCCATATTCTCATGGCCATCACAAAAACCTTGCATAACCCCAAGAGACCTATGACCCATGGAGCTATTTCACAGGCACTTTCAGAGGTGGCAGCAGTTTCAGTAGACTCAAAGAATGTTTAACAAATGGATGTGTTTATTGAATGGTCTGGTGCAACTTGCAACCCCAATAGGGCTGGCAGCCTTCACCTGGGAGGAGAAAAGAGGGCCAGGCCCCAGGTAGAGAAAGAGTCCTAAGGGGACCAAGTTAAGATCTGCTGGCCAAATACTCTGGCAGTGGCATCTCGGCAACCCCCCCCCCCCAGGCTCCATGGCACCAAGACTTCATAAAGGGTGTGGACCTCCAATGCTCTGGCAGCTGCCTCCGTCTTTCTGCACAAACCTGGCCAGATGCAGTTGTTTCCCTTATATGTAGTTGCTGGGCAGACCACATCGTTTCCTATGCAGATATGGAAGTCACAGTAACACAGGTCAAGCAGGCTGTGACAAGGCCTTGGAGGGACAGACAGGAAGTGGTTGGGCCTGCTGCTGCTGCTGTGCTGCTGTTGTTCAGAGAAATGGACAGAGAAGGATCTAGAAGGAAAGCCCCCATGTTGCCACTAACTTCCTGCTGGGAAGTCTGGGAAACTGTTGACTCTCCCCGAGGTCCTGCCTCCTCTGAGGTTGGAGTGAGGATTAAATAATGCATATACGAAGGGCTGTCTCTGAGAGCTGCATGCCTGAGTGTCACTGCCAGGAAACAGGCCTTATCAGCTTCTGTATGTTGTCTACCCAAAACATCCAAGTGAATTTTGAGATGCTATATACATTCTTATTAAACAATCCAAGGACAAAATTTGAGGTATGCATCTGGGTTATTAAATGCCAGGGTGAGACTCACACAGATCCACTCTCTGTGAGGTAGTAAGGAGATAAATTCAGGGCAGGAGTCTAGAGCCACAAGAAGAAATGCATCCATTCTTGTGAGTAGTCATTTTATGGTCCTGTTTTAGCTCCAGTGGAGATCCAGTTCTATTGTGGGCTCTATTTTTGACATTTCTGGAGTCTTGGTGGCAGTTAGCTTAGCTATCAATCCTTTTACAGCTATATGCCTATTTGTAAACATCAAGTAGGTTACTGGAGAATGAACCTACACAAGCACTACTGTTACCAGCTGGGGGCTGCTGCCAGGCTGGGGCTGCTGGCCACCTTGATCACCTGTGTGATTCTTTAGGCTTGGGACTTGAGGTTCCCTACAGCTCCTGTCCCACCAGAGATGTGGACTGTGAGCAGCAAGTGCCTGACTCATTTGTGGTTCCATAGGCTTGTTCTGAGTGTTATGTGTGCTGGATGTTGCCCTGGATGAGACCAGTAACAAGGAAAACCTCTGCCTTCTCATGAGCCTGGGAGCCAGGAAGCTGAAGACCCATCATAGTAAAATGTGTAGTTTACTACAAGGAAGAATGAGGATGGGCCAGTGAGTTCCAATTTTAAGTAGAAAAACATCTGAAGGTGGCAGAGAAATAAATGAAGTAGAGGAGGAAGTTCCAGGAGGGAAAAGCCTGGGCAAAAGTCTTGCAGGCAGGGGCACAGGATGTTCTGGAGTTGCAACTGGAGAGCCAAGGGGGTGGAGGGCCGCAGTCCACTGGAGGTGGAGAAGGCCACAGGAAGGCTGTGGTTTCCACTCTGATGCAAAGCAGGATGCTGATGTCAGCTAAGGCAGTGTTTCTCTGCAGCCTGTTTCTTATCTTGCTTTCTGGAGGCTGAGCCTCTCCTTGCCTGATCTCACACAGGCATTACCACCCCAGTGCAGCTTGGTGTGATAGAGGGAGCAGCCAGCCGACTTGTCTAATGTCCCACTCACAGTGCGGTCCTTTGAGAGGCTCACACCTGGGTCCTTGTCACACTCTGCGACCTCGTCTCCCTGTTTCATAGTTCCTTCCGCTGGCTAGCTGCGTCTGCTGCCCTCTTCCCGTTTCCTTTGACACAGGCTCTTCCGCCGCTAACAGGCCATGAAGTCGGACCTAACTGAGGGGTTTTCTGATTAACTGTGAGAAATCAGTGCAAGAGCAGTTAGGGGACTGCTTGGTGCGGAATGAGAAACCTCCGCGCCTCACCGTCCTTCTTGTTCTGTCAGAGAATAAAACCAGCAATGAGCTCACCTCAGAATCCTTCTGTCAAATAGAAAACTGATTAAATTAAATTCTTATGATATTGGTTTATTTATTGCATGTGTGCACACACTGTGTCCATGTGCCACGGAGCGTGGATGAGCAGAGGACAGAGTTGGTTCGCTCCTTCTGTATGTGGGAATACAGGTATTGAAACCAGGCTACTGGGCTTGACTGCAAGTGCCTTTTCCTCACCGAGTCATTATATCAGGCACAGAAACTGATTTTTATGAAATGAACGTGAAAATATCTTCTGTTTAGTTCCAGAAATTGACTTAAGCCAACATTTCAGGGCGTACCACTGTGGTTGGACTGAAGCCAGCCCACTGCAGGGGTAGGCTGCATTCGAACTTATTCTCTAGCACCACCATGTGGTGATGCCAGGGTGATGAGCGCAGCCTTCCGTTTAGCCGGCGGGGGCTGGATCGGGGCAACAAGAGAGCCTGGGTGGGCAGCTGAGCAGCCATGTGTGCCCTGGTACAGTCTGTCAAGCAGTGCAGGGCACTGTGACACAGACTGGCTCTATAACTGTCTGAGGTCACCCTCAGGTTCTCGGTGCTCATAATCCTGGAATCTGAGATGAGCCCCTGACAACTGTCTGAACAGCCAATGAAATTAAGGCCTGACTTGCGCAATGGCCAGCTACTCTTCCTTTCTTCTTTTTGTTTTTCCCACCAATGATGGATGCTACCAACATAACTGGATTGTGAAGGCTTATGTGCTCAGATTTAATGTAACGCACAATGCAATAATAAAGGGGTGTGTGTGTGTGTGCACGTGTGTGTGTGTGTGTGTGTGTGTGTGTGTGAGAGAGAGAGAGAGGGGGGGGAGGGAGGGAGGAGGGAGAGAGAGAGAGAGAGAGAGAGAGAGAGAGAGAGGAGAGAGGAGAGAGAGAGAGAGAGAGAGAGAGAGAGAGAGAGAGAGAGAGAGAGAGAGAGAGAGGAGAGAGAGAGAGAGAGAGAGAGAGAGAGAGAGAGAGAGAGAGAGAGAGAGAGAGAGAGAGAGGTGTAAGTATTGAGAGGACAGAGGAGGACACCAGTCATCAGATGTCCTGTTCAGTCACTCTCACTGTCCTGCTGAGAAGAGGTCTCTCACTGAACCTGGAGTTGGGCTGCCAGTCTGCAAACCCCAACAATTTTCTCTCTACCCTCCACAGTGCTGAGGCGACAGGTCACATATGGTTACCCCAGATTTCTTTACATGGGTGTCTGGGACTCATCCTCAGGTTTTCACGTTTATACAACAAGCACTCTTACTCCACAGACTCAATGTTTTTAACTTATTTCATCACTTAATTGTTGCCATTAAAAAGTTCTTTTTAAGTTGTATAATATTTAGAAATAGTAACAACAGTTGTCATCTATTAAACCCAGGGAACAGGCAGAGTCTGTGGTGGGTCTTCCTCCACCTACATTATTTATTCAAATTTTCATGAAAACTCCATCATGTAGATATTTTTCTAGAAGAGATGACAACATCTCAGTCAGATCAGAGCCACACAGAGAATGTGTGGTAGCTTTGGGACTTAAATGCAGGTCCCCTTGAAAAGAGTAGGGGCCACGGAGGGAGAGCAGGTGCTGGAAACAGAAGGCCTCCACTTCATGGCTGAAATTGCCTTTCTTGCTGGAGAAGGCTGTGTGCATGTTTAATGGTGTCGAGGCAGGTCTGTTGCAGCATCGCCAACCTACTATGATATCTTCAGTTCCTATCCCAGCAAGAAAACAGCTCATCACCCCCCCCCCCCCACACACACTTTCAACAGCCCCCAGGAGAAAGCTGATAGGTTGGAGGAGCTGTGATGTCCTGAAGTCATGAAAGCATAAGCCCAGAGAGAAGCCTAGCTTTGTATCACCATGCCCAGGACTAAGACAGACAATATGCTTATTGTGATTGGATATAAACACCTAAAACATAACACTGATGAACAAAGAATGGCCTGGCCCCCACTGCTTGAGAGATGCTTTAGGTTGAGGCTGGTCAAGTGTGGGTTCTCTTCCCTTCACTACTGAAAGGTGCATAATGGACACCATCTCTAATGGGAACCTGGCGACCAAGGTTTACCACTGACCACAGAACTTGTGGCTCATAGCCTGTGACCCAAGCCAGGTTCAGCTCCCCTTCTCAGCAGCCAAGAAAGGACAAATTAATGGTAGAAAGCAGAAAATGGAGATTTATCCAATGAGGTCACCCTGGGAAAAACAAAGAGACTCAGGGACTACTCCCGTTACCCTATGGGTCCTGAAGGGAGACTGAAGCTTAGGGAGAGGGTCGAGGATATGCACATCTGAGTAGCCTGGGCAAGGTGTGGCCCGGCCCACCATCGACCCATCGTCGTCTGGTCCAGTTACAGACACACAGAAGAATCTGATAAATGTGCAAAGTAAATGTTCAGCTTTCCTTGACAAACTTTCGACTCAATATGAAAAAGAATTACTTAGAGTCACCGTGCCCTCGTCACCACCCGTGTCCCATTTGGTTATTAAATTGTCCCTTTACCTAGAGCAAGGAACAAAGAGACTGGCCTCATGCTGCATGCTTGTCAACTGGATCCTGTTTTCTATGTGCTTCATTCTGCTTCACACACATTTTTATTTCATGTTCACACTGGTCCCCACATGGAGGCTGAGAGAAAAGAAGGTGAACCATTGTTCTTAAAACCAGAACTGAAAGCCCGGCTCATTTAAGGCAAAGACTAGTACTTTCTGAATGCAAGACTATAATGACAGGAGAAGAGACTCTCAATGGGAGTGTGTGGAAGTCATCCTCAGACTCAGGTCAAGTTGCTCCTGTCTATCCGCATGAAGTTAGGAAAAGAACAAATTGTCTCTTCATCTGCCTGGCAAGGACAAGAACGAGCAGCATCGTGACAAAACGTCACTAGAGGGCGCCATTGTCATCCTTGCAGGTGCATAGCTGCTTGCCCAGGAGATCAGCCCATGGCCCCTGAAGACAGACTTGGGCGAGGGGTCCCAGAGTTCCAGGACCATAAGGCTCAGGTCAGCTCTGCGTGAAATTTAGGACATCTCAGGCTTTATTACAGATACTTGGTCATCTTTGAAACGTCCCGCGCTTTGCTTTGTTTTGCGTTTGTAAACACTCCAGGAAGCGAGTTACTAGAAGAACGCTGAAGTGAGACTCAGACGCAGGAGCAAAAACAATAGCTCACGGTATCGATCTTGGAAAAGATGGAATTTATTCCTTTAGGAAGAAAAAATAGCCTATAAGAAACCAGCTTTGCCCAGTTCTGAAGCAAGAATGGAGACTCGAGTGATAATGAAGGATCTCTAATCCCATTCCCTACCCACTGACATCCCCGGACCCCCGCTAATTCTAATTCTAATGCAAAGACCTTACTGGATGTGGAAGTTAAGTAGTGGACACTACTGGAGCACCGAGTCCAGGGAGTACTTAGTAAATAGTGTTGAATGAGTAGATGACTAGGCGGGTGATGTCCTACTTAGCGGCAGCAAGGGGCTCTCTGGAACCACCTCCCAGCCTTTGGCCCTGATCTTCAACTGCTGTGCCTAGGAAAAAGGAGTGAGTGAGCACAGTGGAGACGAGGCATGGGCAGTGTTTGCATCCCCCTCCTTTGCAGTGGCTACAGATACAGCTTCATCTTTGCAGTGGCTGCTTCATAAACACCTGGTGAATAAAGCAAGCAGAGCTGGCTCTAATTAGGGCTTACAGGTGAAACTAAGCTGTGGAAAACAGTTTTGAGGGGAAGACACTAATGACAGGATCTGCCCGTGTGTGTCATCGTCTCCCATCAGCTGCAGGGTCTGTCCTCGGCTGTAATTAACTTAGAACTAGTTAGGCAGCAGTGAGGTGAGGGGATGGAGCAGACAGAGGAGGCACAGCAGAGATGCCCTAATGGCTTTTCCATATCCAGGTTGATGGACTGTTAAGAAAAGCAGGAACAGCTTGTACTATTCTTGGCAGCATGAACACTGTCATTTGTGGCAGCTATAGGTCATGTATCTATTTTCTCTGTTTGACAGGGACAAGGAGCAGTCGGTGACTGGTACAAACCCAGAGTGGCTCATTTAAGCTGTGACGACCAGGACAGAGCCTTGGTTTTCCTGTGTGAGCTGTCGAGGAGACCATGTGTGTGGCTAACATCTGCACATCTCTGCAAACTTAACTGGAGTTAGCTGAGCTCTGACTGCAGGTGGGAAAAATGAAGATTGATGATTCTAAGAACACGGGTCTGACTTTCCTTCAAAGGACAGAGGGAAAGGAAAGCAAAGCGGGGGGTCAGCACCTGCCTCCCTCTCTCCACTCCCCCTGTGGCCACCTTCAATTCAATCACATCAAAGCAATATCCCGAGAGCTCTTATTGAGTGCCCAGCTCTGGGCTAGGCACCGAGGGCCGAGTGCAATATGACATGCTGCCTGCCCCTCCACCATTAGCTTAAGACAGTAATAGACAGCTGATTAAGGTGGGTGCTAATGACAGATCCATGCACAAGGCTGCAGCATGGAGTATGAGAAGAGTGGGATTTGTGCTCTAGCTGATGGATAAGGTAAATTATAACGGAAGGAGATAATGCCATAGTAAGGAATGCAGATGGATTTTCAGCAAATAAGCCCAATTTCTCCCACCTGTGAACTGATTTTAACAGTATTGATAGGTAAGATGAATGCCTCCTATTCCCTGAATCTCTAATACTAGGAGGTAAGCCTGCCTGCTTCGAGAGTCTCTCCAGTAGCTGTCACACTCTTGTGCTATAGAGGATCTCTCAGCCTCACTATGACATTAAGGTTTGCACATGCAACTTTATTTCATTTTATTGTTAGTATTATTTAAGCTTGCAAAATTTTCTATAGTTTATAATGTTTCCTAGGAAATGTAATGAGCTAGAATGCCTTTGTCTTTGCAGGCCAAGAGTGTCAATGTTTCTATCGGTAAGGGGACATGGAGGAGCACTGAGTAGCCAAGTAACAAGGTAAATGAGTGTGGGTAAAGTGGATACTTAAGAAAGTCAAAGACACTTTTTTTTGTGACATATTCTGGTTCTTAACATTCTTATTCAGTCAGTCTTTATTTTCTATGGATCTTTTCTTTTTAAAAGTATTTATTTTATTTGTATTTTTTTTTTTTTGGGGTTTTTTTCGAGACAGGGTTTCTCTGTGTAGCTTTGCGCCTTTCCTGGAACTCGCTTTGGAGACCAGGCTGGCCTCGAACTCACAGAGATCCGCCTGGCTCTGCCTCCCGAGTGTTTTTTTTTTTTAAAATTAGTATGTCCATATTCTTTTTTTTTTAAAACTTTTTTTTTTTTTTTTTTTTTTTTTGGTTTTTCGAGACAGGGTTTCTCTGTGTAGCTTTGCGCCTGTCCTGGAACTCACTTGGTAGCCCAGGCTGGCCTCGAACTCACAGAGATCCACCTGGTTCTGCCTCCCGAGTGCTGGGATTAAAGGCGTGCGCCACCACCGCCCGGCTTAAAACATTTTTTTAAGACTCATTTATTTATTATGTATACAGTGTTCTGTTTGCATGCATCCCTGCAGGCCAGAAGAGGGAGCCAGATCTCATTACAGATGGTTGTGAGCCACCATGTGGGTGCTGGGAATTGAACTCAGGACCTCTGGAAGAACAGCCAGTGTTCTTAACCTCTGAGCCATCTCTCCAGCCCCTTATTTGTATTTTATGTATACGAGTGTTGGCCTGCATGTATGTATGTGTACATATGTGTTCCTGGTGCTGGCAGAGGATGGAGGAGGGAATTAGATCTCCTTAGAACTTAGGGAAAGTTGTGAGCCACCTGATGGCTGCTGGGGACTGAACTAGGTCCTCTATAAGAGCAGCAAGAGCTCTTAACCCCAGAGTCATCTCTCCAGTCCCCTAAATCCCTTCTTAACTTTGCTGTATGCCTGCATAGGCCCTTTTGTAGGCCTTTCCTTGGCTCCTTTACACCCTAACGAGCAGCTCTCTTCCTGTTCCCATAAAGTGGCAGAGGAAGAAGGACTGGTGGTTTCCGTGGAAAGACCACATGCTTCAGTTCGGGGAGCACGTAAAGAATGAGCAACATATGCAGAGAAAATAAGCCCTGTGTGTCCTGAGACACCCCATGTTCCTGGAATGAAGCCATAGCCTCAGATCCTTAGTAGAGGGAAGTGAGTGATAAGTACATTAATATAACTAAATATTGAAGCAGATCTGCAATGGCCCATGAAGAAAATCAACAGAAACTTTTCAAAGAAACTTTGTGCCACAAATGAGTATTGTGCAGTATGGCAACAATTCCCTTTATGTTCCCAGACAACCCCTGTGGCCAGTCTTATGGAACTGACTTTGGAGTATGGAAAAGCAAGATTATTGAATTACATACGACTGATATACTGAGCCTCAAGACTGTAAGAAAACCACCACCAAGAGGAACTCTACACAAGCCTTATTCTCCGGATTAGTGGTATCCATCACACACTGAAATATTTTCAATTTGATTTAGGCCATTTTCCCTGACTGGGTTTATTATGTCCATCAATGTGGAAATGAGACCCAAACTCCAGAGAGCAACTGGAAAGATGTTTCCTGTGTCTCTAACTCTTTGTCCATGTCATTCTAGGTTCTACTCAGCCCTCAGCGTGTACCAAGAGGCCCCGAGGTGTAAACAGCAGAGGCTTGCTGCACACTGGATGATGACACGCAATAGATTTGAAGATAAGCTACCACCCTGGAGGCCTTCATACAGAAGGGCCGTGTGGGCTCAGGGCTTGTGGTATGTCACACAAACAGGAACACTTTACTTAGCGAGAGCTTGGAAGTGTTAGCGTGACCAAAGGAGACACTGGGATGTAGTCCAACCTTTTCCTTGCAGAATGAATTCAGGTTGTGACCTGCCTTTCACAGCCACCCTGACCTCTTGATGAGTTACAGTTGATGCTGGAGTGGGGGGGGGGGGGGGGGGGGAACGACGACAATGGACCGCACCTCACAGGCTAGGTCTTGCAATGTTTGAAATTGAAGCAGGGAGCTAGAGTTAAACACTTGTATGTGCTTTAAAGTCAAATGATTTCCAGTCTTGAGGGCTCTGACAGCAGAACACTCCATGGAGGGGTAACAGAGGTCAGTCTGAGGCAGGGAGGGGCCTCTCCCTTTATGTTCCCAGACAACCCCTTGTGGCCAGTTTTATGGAACTGACTTTGGAGTATGGAAAAGCAAGATTTTCCCGTCAGCCTTAGGCTATGTGAGCTCATCCCCGAGACATGCCTAGGGGAAAGGGTTCTAGCAGGGATAGGATGGACCCCATACATTTTGACGTAATAAACTCACATATGTTTTCAACACCACATCCCTCCCTCTAGAGGACCCCAAGAAGTTCTGATGTCAAAACATTTTTAGTTTTCTATTAACTTCTGTACACATTTTAAACCCAGGGCTTTCTGCGGGTATTGAACCATGGACACACTTGGTAAAATAAAGCCTGGAGAAGCCAACTTCCATGACCAGCATGGGAAAAGGCAATGTATTGATGGCATCATAACTATTCCCAGGTGAGGATGGGTAACGCAGAACACGTATACAGATGCCTGATACAGGGCTGGTGGCTAGTTCACTTGTTGGACTGCTTGCCCAGCTTGCACAAGGCCCTGGGTTCCATACCCAGCACCCAGGAAGTAGAGGCAGGAAAGTCAGAAGGTCTAGGTTATCCCTGTCTCATAGGAGTTAGAGGCCAGCCTGAACTAGAAACAAAACATGACCTAGATGGTATGAGACCCTCAGTGAATACTGTGCTGAACACAGGCTAAGTGGATCAGGTGATGTTTGCCTTTTGCATATGTGTTCATAACATCACATTGAACATGATAAACACATGTGATTTCAGCCTGTTTCAAATAAATAAATGGAATTGAAAAAACAAAACCCAATTATTTCTTACTTAAAAGTGGGAGTATTTTTACTAAAACAGGTACGTAATTTTAGCTCACACAGAGAGTGTTTAGCACAGTGCAGATCTCATTTATAGATATTTCCATTAAGCCCCAAACATCTCTTCCTGTTAAATCACAAAGCCAAAAGGGTAAGGGCAGTGATCTACAAACCTTGTTAAGACCACACAAAGACTGGTCTGGGGTGGGCTGTATTTGGGAACAAGCTTCCAGCTCCCTCCTGGCTCATTTACAGCACTATTAAGAATGAAACTGAAGGCAGGGAGGGACACGGTTTTGCGCACAGGGAGACCACACAGAACCATGCTCAGAAAGATTCTTTTTGTTTTCTCAGTTGCCAGTTGATTTTGAAACTGATTTTGGGTGGGAACCCTGTTGGTAGAGTCTATTCTTAAATGTTTATTGTCTTGCGGATGGGAAGAGCCTTGGGAGACAGAATTCTACATCTAAAAATACAGGGATAGTGTGAGAAGGAGAACTCATTTCTTGAAGTGATTTACTGGAGAGTTGGATACAAATTCCAGGAGAAACTTCTGCTTACAAAAACCAGGACTTGCAGGGTATGGTGATACATGGTTGGTATCTCTGCACTCAGAAGACTGAAGCGAGAGTCCAAGGGCAGCCTGAGCTCATATAGAGTTCCAAGTCAGCTTGGACTACATATGGAAACTGTCAGAAAGAGAGGGAGAGGGAGAAGAGGGGAGAGGACAGGGAGGGAGGGGAGTGGAGGGGAAGGAGAGACAAGCAGACCAAGTCCTTAATGGCATTTGTAGAATGTTCTCCTGTGTTAGTCTGGAAGTGCCAAAAGCAGACACCAAAGCAAGTTTCATGTTCAAGAAACTTGTGGGGGCATCTGTAAGGACAGAAGAGAGGGAATAAGATGGTTGAGAGAGACAGGCTTCTGTGGGAGCAGGGAAGGAACTCATGTCAGCAAGCCACCGTACGGTTCATCTGTGCTACCCCATCTCCAGCCAACGGAGAATGATGGAGGACTGGTCAGGAAGCTGCCTGGGGGATGGAAGAAGGGTTCTGGGTAAGGTAGTGGCTGGAACTTAGCTGTTCCAAGGATTTGAACAGAATCAGGTGAATGGAAGGAAGGAAGGAAGGAAGGAAGGAAGGAAGGAAGGAAGGAAGGAAGGAAGGAAGGAAGGAAGGAAGGAAGAAGGGATAGTTGATCCAATCTCTCTTTTGTCTTCAAGGATTCTGTACCTGGCCTGACCCCTGTTACTTAACGGATATTTTATGAACTGTTTTATTGTGGAGTGTTCCTGAAGAAATACATGTATACTTCCTGAGTGTTGCTATTTAGGAAATAAAGGTTCCATAAATTATCTCATGGAGAAATGCCTAGGGGAATGAAGACATTTTAATAAACTATGATTCTTTATTTTTATTAAAATGGGCTATAGTGGATGCATCACCAGAATCATCAGAACTCACATAATATGGGTGACATGGGAGTGGACATTTTCCTCAGGAAAAAAAAGCTATTAAGTCAAACTTTTGACCCTAATCACAAGAACTGTAGAGAACACCTGATTTGTTCACATTTGATAAAAGTGTATGCTCATGTGAATGAATTTGGAATGAGTTCTAGGATCATAAAAGCATATTAGAAAAAACGTAATCCCTTAAGCACATAAGAAATCTGGTGGACTGCAATTCTCCCCACATACCATACATCTCAGACTGTAGTCACACTTCCTAAATATTCAACATGTTCTACCTATTTATTCTTTGTGACCAAAGCCTCCTCTGACTGACCCAGCCAGCTTCTCAACCCTCTCTGAGAGTCTGTTGTAACACTTGCACATTGCACAAAAATGATTGGGTCTTTGCCCAGATTCTCCCTCGTTTGGGCTTGTACTTCCCATGGGTCATTTCTGTGTCTTTTACTTTTATGTCTATGTCAACGATATCTGGCACACACTAATGTTTTAAAAATATTTAATGAATGGAAATATATCCTTACTGTTATAAAAGAAAACACACTTAAGTTATAAGAAAATGGATGAGTTAAAGTGACAGGAATGCTGGTTCTGTGGAATCTCAACAGCATGGTCATGTGTATTAGGATCCCACCAGTCGCCATGATGAAGTGGATGAGAAACTACACGTGGCTCCGTCTTTAGATGAGCTTCTGCTACGGCAGGATGGAAACGCAGTTTTCTCTAGGACAAACCCATTAGGTTACCTGATCCTAAGTGGTTAACCCTAAACCCATGTACTTATGAGCAACACTAGATAGACTCAGCAGGCTATATAATACATAGATACATATATTCAAAACAATTATAAGGGGCCATGAATTCAGGAGGGGATAAGAGAGGAGTTAGGGCTAGAAATAATGTAAATACTCATGTACAAAATTCTAAAAAAAAATCAGATGGGTGTGTAGTTTAAATAAGCCTTGTTCCTTTGCTTTAGAAGCTTTTTTTCTTCAATTGACTTAATACTTATTTCTCATGACTTAATAACCAAGTTTTTAAATTCACTATGTCTTAGTTTCACCACTGGTAGCATTTAGTGTCTATCGTTACTAGCTTGGGGCCTTTTGTGTGCACAGTAGGATGTTTAGAAGCATCCTAGTTTCTACCTGCTGGGTCCTGGGAACATTCCCTTTATTGTGATAACAAAAATATCTCTTGACATTGCCAAATACTCCTTGGCTGTGTAAAAATCTTCCTGTACTGGAAACTCCTGCTCTGTTATACAGAGGCATAAAGAGTGAAATGAAATCTTTGTCTGTGACAACTCATTTGGTGGGAAATGATGTGACTCAGTGTGAGAGAAGCCAATGCTCAATAGACCATGATAGTACAGAGCCTGTTGCAAATGTTGACAGGAGGAATTACAAACTGTACATGTAAGCATTGTTGGCAAGTTTCTTAGCACATGCCAGGACATTGTTCAGTTTGGATGATGATTCTGGATGACTTTGGGAAGATGTGCTATTTAACAGGACTAACTGGTGACATGAGACACATGGGGTTTGCTCTTGCATGTCCATTTGCTTTTCCATTAGATCTCACGCTTCCTTTCCCTAGGTCCATCCTTGACCTCCTTCAACTCCAGTTGTAACAATAATAACCCACATAGAAAATCACAGAGCCCACCAATTTATTTGGCCAGTCTTCTCCTTTCTGTGACCCAATACCTAATGTAGTGATTTGAACAGTGGCCTCCATGGGCTCACTGTTTGAACACTTGGTCCCTAGTTGGTGGAACTATATGAAAAGGATTAGGAGGTGTGGCTTTGTTGGAGGAGTGTGTCAATGGGAGTGGGCTTTGAGGTTTCAAAATCCCCACTACTCCCAGTTAGCTCTGTCTCATCTCTGCCTCTGCCTCTGTCTGTCTCTCTCTGTGTTTCTTTGTCTTCTTGTTGTTGTCTCAACATGTAAGGTCTGGGTTGCTGCTTTAGCACAAGGCTGTCTGCTTCTCACCATGAGAGTCATGGCTCACCTTCTGAAACTGTCATCAACCCCCAATTAAATGCTTTCTTTCATAAGTAGCCTTGGTCATGGTGTCTCTTCATAGTAACAGAAAAGTAATTAAAACACCTGAGAACTTGAGGGAGCAGGGTTGATTTTGGCTCACAATTTGAAGATGTATTTCTTTATAGTGGGGTACATGGCAGTTGGAATGTAAGGCTGCTTCTCATATTTGTGGACCAGGGAACAGAGATGGGATAGGAAGTGTGGCCAGGCTACATGCCCCAAAGCCTGCTTCCTGGTGAACTACTTACTCCTTAATGCCCCCAAACCTTCCCAACACACCATGTGCTGGAGACCAGGTGTTAGAACACATGGGCTTATGGGGAAGTTACACATCTAATCCATGACAGGAAAGCCAGAGCTCAAAGCTCCCTGGTGTCATGAGGATGAGATTATTCAGCAGCAGAAATATTTCAGTCTAGCTTACAGTGCCTGTGATAATTTCACTTCATTAATATTTGAATTATATTTTTAATCTAATAAATAAAGTAAGATTA